CATGCAACTGAGTCAACCAGCTTGTGATATACAAAGTGAATGATTCTGTTATGCTGTTTGCTAAAAATAACTATTTCTCTCAGTTTTTTCTAAGGAAACATCTACACATAGCCACCTTCCACCATCTGTGAAATATTACATTGTTTCAAAGACAGATATTTCATCTTCAAAACATATCCTGATGACCTGGGAACCTTCCTCTTTCCCAGCTGTATAATCCTTCTTTACAGGTTTGACTGTAAGAATTTAAGATTTTTAGCTGTTAAAGTGGTGACAGGGCAATATTTTCTTTCAAAAGAATTGTTTTAAATGTGCAGCTAAGAAAACAATCAGAAGATCTAAACAAAAACTGAGCAAAATAAATGTGTGCTTGTTTATTCTGTATACAGTACTTCTCTCCTTTCAGTTCAAACTACAGTAAATCAACAGTTTGCTACTAGATTAACGTCAGAGGATCTAAACCACATACTGTACAATACCTGTCATCATAAAAACATGTGTAGACAGGCCAGAAAAAAAGACGGTACTGAGGTGGTACAGCTTCTATTGATATTGGTGTCAGATTTGGGCTTTAAGTGAAAAATCCACTCTGAAAACTGCTTTTAAACAGCATATTGGTGCCCATATGGGAGTGAACCAAAAGTATTTCCATAGATAAATTAGGAGCTGTTGAAATATATGTACATTTATTATGTGTTAAGATAAGACAAAATACATTCTTAGAAAAATGTATGCTCTGAAAAGCAAAAAGAAGAAGGAAATCACTGCCTGAATATCACTATGTTTGCATCAGAAGATTTTACTGGGACACATATTTGTTATAAGAATTAAGTTTAGAAATCTGTAAAATTATTGAGACACTTGGTATGCGAGTCATATTTCACAAGTTGTTTTTTAGAATATAGGATTTCTAATGTGAATTGTTCTTCCATGTATATTTCTTTGCTGCATAGTTATATACAGTATGTGTCACTAAAATCCAGCTTTTTCATGTAAAATTATATTATCAGAACTTTTCTCAACTTCACATACTCATTGTATAAGAACTGGAAATGAGATCGCCTAACATTTTATACACTTTTTGTTGCTCAAGGGTTTACATTTTTAAATACAGTTAGATTTGTATTATTAGAAGACCTATAGTTTAAGTTTCTATATTTAAAATTGCAACATAGAAGTGCTAGGGAGTTTCAGTTATGACCCACAGGCTTTGAACACAGTTACGGGCCTCTTAATTATTTTGTTGTTTGGGCCATGCTCTTAACTGTCTCTCTGGAGAGCAGAAGAATGTTTCAGTTCTTATGATTAGCCTACAGGGCATTATGTCTGCAAAATGAATCACTTAGATTGCTGTAGGAGAGGTAAATAGTTGACACTGTACCTAGCTAAAAGTGCTTAAATATACAAATGCTTTAAAAAAAAAACATCACATAATGGTAGGTGACGCATTTTTCAGTCCACATCTCAAAATGCAACAAACATTTGGTTTCTTTGAGTGATTGAGAATAAATGTTCTGCTCTGTGAGCTGTCATCTAGAAAACACATTCATCGTATCATTGTAAAAACTTGAGGTTCTCCCGCAACATGTTCAAGACACTCAGTAGGACAGTAAGAACGGTGAGGGGACTGTCCCATTATGGCACATTGTCTAAATTACTCTCTGGTTAGAAACCTTCCACATACTGTTATCTCAACATAGAAACTAAGTCAACATGGTTTCAGGGTTTTGATGAGAGCTAGACTGGGTCAAGGGTTTTAAAAACATAGATGAAAATATAGCACAGGAAATGTGTATGATTCCTACTACAATGAGATTCTTAGCATTCTGTTATGTAGGGTATTATGCAGGGTGCCTAAGAATGTCTTCAAAAGCAAAATTAGGTGGTACTTATTTTAGTGGAGTACTATTATCGTAGACAATGAATTACTTCCCTAAAAGTTTGACAGATAACACTAAATAGGTCACAATAGTACTTTATGCTTTTCTAGTATTTCCTCAATTAAGTCATTTAAATCCTTAAATACCCTGGCTCAAGGGTAAACAAACATAATCCTGAAGGAATCTTGCAATCCGCTTTTCTGAAACTGGACATTCTTTTGTACATGGTGCTCAGACATGTTTTAAAATTGTCATGTCATGTCATTTACCAATCCACTTTATGCCATATGGTGTCGCAGGAAGCTGGAGCCTAGCCAGCAAGCAATGAGCGCAAGGCAGGGTACACCCTGGACGTGGGCGCCAGTCCATCGCAGGGCCAGTGCAAGCCGATCATACATGGGGACAATTTTTGGAGGCCACGGTAAAGACCGAGGGGGGAATTTGGCCCGGACAAAATTAACTCCCTATTCTTCTCGAGAAATGCTCGAGGATCTTTAATGACCACTGAGAGTCGGGGCCTTGGTTAAACGTCTCATCCAAAAGATGGTGGATACTACAGTGTCTCCATCACTATACCAGGGCGTTTAGACCCACACAGACCACAGGGTGAGAACCCCTACTGGCCCCACTAACTTCCAGCAGCAGCCTTAGTTTTTCCCAGGAGGTCTCCCATCCAGGTACTCACCAGGCTCACACCTGCTTAGCTTCAGTGGGTAGCCAGGTGTGAGTTGCAGGGTGCTATGGCTGCTGCTTGTTTTAAAATTGTGTTCTTTCTTATTTGTCTTACTGTACATGCCCTTAACATTCCGGTCAGTCATTGGAGTAATCGGTCCAATGCAGAGTAATTGAGGACATCTTGTAGTGTACAAATTAAAGTTTATTATTTATAAATATCAAGGTAGACAAGCATCATCCAGCATTTACATTCCAGTTGCAGACTTCCTGATTTAAAAAAAAAGTCAGCATTCATTGCAAAAATATGTTTAGATAAGTAACTCAGCTGTGGGTTTCTTTTTCCTGTGATGGTTACAACTATGTACAGGCAAACCGTGCTTAGAAAAACACCTCCTTCTTGGCCATCTCTATGAAGGAAACTTTCCAAGGGACAAAACCCCCTAGGTTCCATACAGAACACAGTGTGCTGTCCCTGCTGAAGAAGAATTTATTTATGTTGCTGCTGGGAAGCTGATAATATCCTGTCCCAAGCAACTGAAGGACATTTCATTTCTCCGTTCTGTGGGGTTGCCTGTATGTAACCGATCAGTTACATACTGATTTTAGCTTATGGGTTGCAAATTCCACCTAGAAACATTTGAGAAATGGAATGTATTATTAATGTATACTGAAAGCTATTGTTCCCAGAGCTCATTTGTTGCATTTTTAAATGCATTTCAGTATGTTTAAAAAAACACAAATATGATGATATCCAATGTCTATTGTAGATTAATTGAATGTTAGCAGAAAATAGAAAACCCATAAGGCTAACCAGATCCATAGCCTAAGTTAAGATTGAAAGTACTGTATTTTCTTCTATCTATAATACTTTAGAAATGTAATATCAGCTGTATTTTATTCCTTTTAGAAACTGTAGTTTTACTACATTTAATCTAAACTGTAATGTCTTTATCTCTTCTCTGTATTTGACATTCCCCATATGAACCTACAGTACCACTGAAATGGGGTAAAGAGGAGAGAAATACTCAGAAATAATTTATAATCTTTTAGAAACAGGGCTGGTGTGTGTTTTCATTACAAGCCCCACCAGTGTTCTAATGCCATAATGAACCATAAATAAAGATGGGGCCCTATGGGTAAGTGAATAAGTTAAAACTAACTGCACTTCCTGACACAGAGGGCATAATGGGTTAAGCCTAGCTCTCATAACCCAGGGCATACTTTACCTCCCACCTTAACCCTAATGTTCACTACAGCACCAACCTTTAAACATAAACCTAGTGCATATTTGAACAACATACATCAGAACATTTTTTCAGGAGAAAACAAAGTAGACTTGTACTTTTAGAGTTTCAATCTAAAGTGGTTAATATAACATTTCTTAAAATGGTGCACTCCTATGTTATTCATCCCCCAGGAGTAGTTTGAATTAAAAAATAACTGCTGCTGGGAATAAGATGAGCTTTTTCAGGCAAACACACAAAGTCAAACTGTGAACTGGCCTCACACAATAGCTAGTCACAGTCCAAACGACACTCCCATTCTGGCCAGCCAGATACCAGATTCCAAAACGAAAACAATAATTGAACAACTAGTAAGGTGCATAAAGTCCATGAGTCATTCAAAATCAGAAACATGTTTTTAAACGGAGGGGTAAAACATTGAGAAAGCAAATCAGCGTGGAAAATCCCTCAGATGATTTTTATAAACTAAACAGTTTTATAAAGGGATATCTTGAATATAAGAGTAGGGATTTGTGTGTATTGTAGTGCATTCGCCCGGCGCAGCGGCCGAAGAGCGCCCGGCTGGGGTATGCGTCGAGGGCCAGGGCGGAAGTGATCTGACTAGTGGTCAGGGCGGGGACGAGGAAAGCCGCTGACCAGTGCAGCTGACCCACTGCAAAACGGGCGAACAGTTTGTTGAGATCGCCCGGATTCTTGTAAATAGTTCCCTGGTTTCGCACTCCTGTTATACTTGTACCCAGTTGCCATCCTATCCGTGTATCTGCCCGAATAGACCCCAGTGTGTTGCTCTTTCTTTCTCTCTTTCTCTCTGCGGGCGCGGGGGTTTTGTGTTGGCTGTGCCGATAATCAATAAAGCGCTGTTTTTCACTCAACGAGTGTCTGGGTCACTGTTTTCGTCCTCGCCGATCCCGAAAATACAGTATTTTAAGGGTCTAAAGTGAAAGCATCGATAGTACTATATTAGCTTTTTCCTGCCATGTTAATTTTATTGCATTTATCAAAACTAATGGTGGCCATTCCTATTGTTGTGGACTATTGTGTATTTCTGCAGCTCGCATATGCCATCTGGTGAATAAAAATGGAATTTCAAATTCTTTTCAAGCCTTTTCTTTTTCTATATCCTGGGAATTACAAAGGCAAGAGCATTAATATTGTTTTTTCAGATATTGAATTTAAAAAACTGCCTAATGAACAGAAAACGTGCCATGCTCGTGATTCAATTTGATGAAAACAGTTCTTCTGGGAAGAGGAAAGCAGGTGTGCTCTTCTTTGAAGGTAACTGCTGTCACTCAAAATTAAAACTAAGTAATTTTAAAGAGCTAATTGGGCACAGGTGCTGAGTAGATTATCTTTTTGTGTTTCAACCTTGATGTAAATCATGCTAGAACGAAAATAATCAATAAAGCACATTAAAAAAATCGTGATTTATTGTCGTTGCCACCTTAGAATCAATGTTTTGTGTGAAGGAGGAAGTTAAATTAATTAAACTATCAATCATGGAGACTGTCTTATGGCACTCAGTGCCACATCACCTAATCTTGACTTATTTTTGACTGTATTACAAAATCTAATTGATACGTGAACTCAGAACATTATTTGCTAATCAGAAATAATAAATATAGAATTGGGATTACTCTTAAACTGAGAATTAAGTACCCAATGTACTACAAATGTAGAATCATTTAGTTACATTACTATAAATTAAATGTACTGTAGAAGCTTCATATTAAGCTACAGAGCATTGTGTATGCATTAAAATATATACTGTATATTTGAAAAATGTGAAACAGAAAAATATCGGAATTGTGACTCATTTTTCATTTCAGGTTTTTAGTTGCCTGAAGTTGTAGAAAGCTGCAAAGTAATTGAATGTTACCATTATTGTTGGAAATGAAGGACAGCACCTTTATGGTTGATTTCAGACCTTCAGCCACTAACAGAAAAACACACAATGTACAGTAAGTAGTTCACTCCAAAAGTTATCTTGCCTTAAAATTTATGTCCATAATATTTCTAAAAACAAGGGTATCAGACACAAATACTGCATCTTTCTGAAAATAATTGTAAAATATGTACCAGTAAAGATGAGAAGTCATGGAGTTTATAAAAAAATAAAAAATGACTAATTTGGAGGAATGAGAAGAACCTGTCCAGAACCTGTGAGTCTTTCCTTTGTGAGCTGGTTAGAAATAAATTCATACAACTAAACTTTAAACACAATGCTCTCTTATGTTATGTGAATATGGTGAGTCAATCAGCTTGTGATATACAAAGTGAATGATTTCATTATGCTGTTTGTTAAAAATAACTATTTCTTTAAGTTTATTTCTAATGAAATAAATACACATAGCTACCTTTTACAGTCTGTGAAAAATTATATTATTTGAAATAGAGACATTTCATCTTCAAAACGTATCCCGATGACCTGGGAACCTTCCTATTACCCAGCTGTATAATCCTTCTATACAGGTTTGACTGTAGGAATTTAAGATTTTTAGCTGTTAAAGGGGTGACAGGGCAATATTTTCTTTCAAAAGAATTGTTTTAAATGTGCAGCTAAGAAAACAATCAGAAAATCTAAACAAAATCTGAAAAAAATAAATGTATGTTTGTTTATACTGTATGCTTCTCTCCTTTCAGTTCAAACTAAATCAGCAGTTTGCTACTAGACTAAAGTCAGAGGATCCAAACCACATACAGTACCTGTCATCTTAAACACATGTGTCAACAGGCCAGAAAGTTAAAGACGGTACTGAGGTGGTACAGCTTCCATTGATATTGGTTCAGATTTTTGGCAGTCAGTCAAAAACACTAGAGAATAGAGTTAATTCCATGCTGAAAACTAGAATGGAGAAACACAACTTATTGTCAATGACCTGTCTTCAGGTGACACCAGGAGTGTCTTACAGTGGCTTACCAAGTGTCTCCCTGCTGGGTGACCTGACTGCATGGTGACACTTGATTTTACATGAGGCTCATGTAAAAACGGCTTTTTTGTTAGGCCGGAATACTCTTTTTAAGCAAGGATGCAAATTAGTATCTTAAAGTTGGTTCTTTACTGACTTAAATTTATAATTGTAATCAGTTGTCATGAATTAGACTACTAAAGGCTATAAATATTGATATATTGATCGGTGTTCCCCCAACCCCCGTTTCCAGTTTCCTACCAGTACTTGATTGAACTCATAGGATGCTACTCATCGGAGACAACACTGTTAATACAAGTGATGTAAAGATGTAAAGCGATAATGTAATGTAAACTATAAATTAAAGATTACTCATTAATTAAGTGACCAAAGCGAAAAACAGTGCATGAGCATATCAAGAGAGGCGCTATATATGTTATATATGACAAAGAAACTTAAAAAAGGCAAGGTGATGGAGGGGAGTCCCAATTACCTGAAAAGCGCTATGTAAGTGTAAGCAATTATCATTATTATTGATTTAAAATAATTTTAAATCGTAAAATGGTTATTAGTTCCGTATAAAATTCAAGTATCTAAGTACTTGTACTAGGCTCATCAGCCTGGGAACACAAAAGCGTTGACGTCTTGAGCTACAGCGTCACTTAATTTTCCTCCTACCCTTATGTGTAACATCGCTTATTTGCAACGTTACAAAGTTCAGAGGGCTTTTTTGTCAGTCCACGCTACCATAAATAATAAAGTTTCTGTGTCAGACATGGCAGTGAATTCTGGATTCGAGTAATACAATTGGATTGTAGAGGCGTCCCTTTCACTGCTGATATTGCAAGTGCAGGAAACTGGTGTCAGCGAACGCACTGCCTCTTCCCTCAGGACAGCTGGGTCACCCCGTCTCGCTGGCCGGCAGGGCCACCGCGCTTGGTCGGGATCTGTCCCTGCTTTGTGTCAATGGTAGAGGGCAGGTATTCTACCAGAATGTGTTGTATCTCAGTTTCTCATCCCGAATGGTATTATCACCACCTTTCATAACCATAGTCCACGCCTACCAAACTAGAGATCAAAGAACTTTGCCTTCGCGGGAAATCTTAATAGACTATCTTATTTATTTTAGTTACTGGAGGGGAAGCGATTTCTTTGTCTTCGCAAAAAAACATGTTCAGGAGCTTGAATTATTTAAAAACACTTTGATATATACTTTTATTTTCTATATAATTACAAAATAAGCCCTGTAAATGAAGTACATCGCGAGAAACTTGAGATATTTAATCCTCTTGAAGTATAACGCCCCTAAAAATTGTGTTGGGATGTTCCGCAGTGGCGCCAAAGCAGTTGGCATGAAAAATACCTTCTGTAAAGGGAAAAGAAGCAGACTTGCAAGGAGGTCCCTAAAGAGTTGTATTTATATAGTACATTTAGTTTTGTTTTAGTTTTTAATTGTTCGGTGCAAACTTAATTCCTGCGAGCGGTTGGCTGTATTGTTGAGGTTTATGCGTGGATTTTTGACGAAGTCGAACGTGTGAATTGTATAACTTTTATTTACACGTGTTGGCGTGACTTGACCCTGCAGTTCGTAAAATCTTTTCGACCTCACCATCCACAGGAAAACCAAACCGGGTAAAAATGAGCAGGTACGACGATTTCGGTTGCAGCTACATATTTCCTATCCAAACTTTAACATCTTTGTAAATGAAAGTTGAGCTAAACCTAGGATATCTGGAGGAACTATACAGTGACGTTACCGAAGCGTCATTTATCAGTTAAAATATTTAAAAAATGAAATATATGTTTTAAAATATGAGTCTCATCGTTTTGTTCGGTCTGCAGATTGCTGTACATAGGCATTTCCGGTATTTTGTTTTATTGTTATGTAACGCCTCACAGCATGCACGTTAACTATCATAATTTTCAGATCAGCTCATTTAATTCTTTAAATTTTCCTCCCAGATCGATTAATTACAATGTGATTATAACGTTTCAAAGTTATCTAGACAGACTCTGAATTCTAAATTTGTGTCTTAAGGAATTAAACGCATTCAAAAAGCAGGTTTCGAAGACTAGAATGTATTGAGTCAATGTATTCATTTTAAAAGGGGTGAAAACAGTCGACTGAAGGGGATAGACGTATTTCATTGAATGAAATTAATGAATACAGGTTAGTCAGTCCAGAATGAATGTGTTAGAAAAATGGAATAGAACTTTGCCTTTATCACTAACCTGTTCTGAGCTGCGCCCCGCTTTTCAAGCGATCGGCACTTTACCAAAATAGTGCTCCCACTTACCAGACATTTTGTCTGATAAAAAAGAGGCGTTTACTAAATTCATGAATCTCCAAACAGAGAGTCACAGTTACTGGCTGGCGAAATGTAATTTGCTTCTGTCTTTGTTCCTTGGCAGCTCTGAAGACGTAAGAAGTGCGTCTCCTCAGTGCCCCAAACCCAACGAGTCAGAACAACCAGAAGGTACTGCGGTGGAGCAGACCGACTCGGGTCGAGGTGAGGATAATAATTTCTTACACTTATATCGGGGTTTTTCTGGACACTCCACTAGAAACACTTTACTGGTAATGGGGACTCCCCTCCCCACCACCAATGTGCAACATCCACCTTACTTGCAAAATTAAAACCTTTACAGGGCCCTTGTGTCATTGCTCTTTCAGCGTGAACTGGCACAAGAAGGGGTATAGTTTGAAGCTCTGTCTCCGTCACTGACTTCATCTCCAGTACTAATGTTGGTGAAATCACACACACATCTGTAATACAGTGGTCAGATAGGCCCTCGATGAAATAGCCCTGTTAAAGACTAAGGTAGTCAAAACCACTAGACACTCTCCATGATTTAATGATCACACACGATCCCTTAAACAGGAGTGCCGCAAACTAGAGCTCAAATGGAGGTCTACTGGTTTGCAAGTATTCCAGTCGACATGGACTGATAGCCTGCAATAATATAAGAAAGCCTGTATAGAGTGCCTTGGGGCAACCCTGTTGTGAAAGGCGCTATATATAAATTGAATTGAACGGTTTCCCTGAAACATCAGGAATTGGTGGAGGACAGTCCAGTGTTCTCACCCTTAGAGTTTGTGGCAGGTGATTGGCCAACCTGTGATGCAGTGGGGATGTCCTGCCATTCTGTTGTGGATTGCTTTTTGGATACCTGTATTGTTGTGGCCGAGCTGCGGGTCTGCAGTGGAGATGTGATGTCTGTCCACAACATGAACGATCAAGTACTGCTCTTCCCAGGAGCTGTTTCACCACAGACAATGCTGTCTCTGCCTATAGCTGTGCAAGCGAAACTGAGAAACTAAAGGGATCCCAAATCTGCCAAGGCCTGATTGAATATTGGACATGCCATCTACTGATCCCGTGGGTTATAGGATTCGAGAGGTAAAAGGCCTGTGAAAATGCCTTTGACCTTATGAGTCCTTAATACCTAATGTATCACAGGCACTGTTTAATAAAAACCTAAGAAAGGTTACAAACGCGAAGAGGTCATTCATCCCATTTCTCCTGTTTGGTGGGTTTTAGTTCATGTCCTCTTGATTCTTGAAAGAAACCAGGGAGTCGGCTTAAACATCATAGCTGGGTAACTTGTTCCAGACTCTGAAGGTGTCATGTAGTTTGCATGTTAGCCCTGTGGTTCATGTCTCAGTGTTTATTCTGTAGAAGCTTAAATCTTATGTCTTTTGAGCTAAAACCTAACGGGGGAGAAAAGTACTGTAGAGATTAAATTCAATTTCGTGTGTTATCTGTTTAAGTATTAGTTCCCTCCATTTCAGGGAGCCCAACTGAGGGGATGGCGGAGCTGGTCATAACGCAGGAGATGCTGGAGGAGGAGAAGCAGCTGATGAAGGAAGGGGAGAAGAAGGAGCAGGAGATGCTGGCAAAGGTAATGCTCTGTTTCAGTGTTTCACACTGCTTCATGTTAGAGGAACAATGCTGCTACATGCAGTGTTAGAGTAGACATAAGTTTCTTTCCGAAGGACTGTAAGCTTTTTGCCAGCCAAGACTTAAAAAAAAAAGTGCTTTGTGAGGTACTGCCTTTTAAGTGCCTCACAATTACAGTGCTTTCTTGATTCATACTTGATTAAAGTTAGTTGTTTGTTCAAAAACATGCAGCTTGTGAAAATGGTGACGTGGACAAATGAGTGGGTTCATCTGTAGGTGATTGTACTTCCTAGCTGTAGACTGTGGTATCATTTTGTGGTTTCAGAATTATTTTTTGCTTGCAGGCTGGTACGTAGAGATTTATTGGGGGCAGAAGTTAAATGTTAACAGTGTATTAAAAAAAATAATGTGCATACACAAACTTAGAGCATGCCATTGAGCGTTTTACCTTATCACCTCTTAATCTGTGGTGTAGTGGCAGCATACAAGTAAGAGACATTTTCTTTGTTTTTTTTCAAAATTAGTTATTTTAATTCAATTGAAGGTAATCATGAAATAAAACGGCTACTTTCAGCCCCATACTATGAAATGTAAGAGAGCAGTTGTAGCCTTTTATAGTGCTGCAGAGGAATTTGTTCCAGGCAGTCCTCAACATGCCAGGTTATGAACAGTATGTTTGAACAGCGTCCCATGCTGTGGGATGGGCAGCTGTCTGCTCTTTCGGTTCTTACTGGCACAGTACTCTGCACTTAAAGGAAGCTGCTGTAGAATAAGTTGTCATCTGCAAGTTTAGTCCGGTTGCACTTTGATGAAATATTAGGCCAGACGTAGTGATGGACCAGAGCAGGGTTTTTAAAGAAAGAGAGGTTGATTACTTCAATAACTGGGTGGGTTGTGTTTTGTTATTTTCGAATCTGTGGAGATTTATGAATTTATGCTTTTATGGGTATTTTATGAAGATCAATTCTGCAACTGGTGCTTTTTGTATGCTTGTGTATAACATAGTGTACTGTGTAAAGATGCATTGCCCTTGTGCCCTAGGTTCCATTAAAATGGGCTCAAGAAATTTGTCCATTGTACTTTTGTCTTTGTATGCATTACTGCGCATTAGAAAAGTGTATGTATAGCATCTGAAAAGCAATGCATCGTAGTAAAGAACTGGTGTTTCTCTGATGTTTAGTGAGTAAGAACATTTTTTAGCATCTTTTCTTCACTATATGAAATAATTATATTAACGGACTATGGTGGGCCTGTTGCAGTTCAGCATATATTTCTGCCTCGTTCCTGTTCTCCCAGTACAGCCTCTGATAGCAGAGGCAAAGCATGTTTACTTTTATGACCTGCAGCACTGGCTGCCCTTAAAGGTAGGTTTGTCAAAATGGATCTTTTTTTGTTTATGAAAATGTTGTCTTGCAAGTTCTGAATTTTCATTTGAATGAAATCTTTTATTGCTTTTACAGGCCCGGGAGTCTTGGGAGAGAGAATCAAAAGAGATGCGCTACAAGCGGCTGCAGCACTTACTGGAGAAGAGTAACATCTACTCCAAATTCCTCCTCACAAAAATGGAGCAACAGCAGCAAGAGGTAGGTGGACACTTAACACTAACTGGAATGTAGTGAAGCTGTATGAACCCATATGTGCCCCGTCAGGCTGTCCTGTGATCGACTTCAAGTACACGAGTAGGTCAGTTATTTTGTGCTGTTCCCACCTGTTTTTTTGTAGCTTTAAAGTTTAATGCAAAAGTTTCTTTATTGCCAAAGCTTGAAATACAGTTGGATCAAGGAGACACACTCTGGCGCATTACTCGTGGACAGGTGGCTCTCGACTCTTGATTAAACTGAGCGCGGCTGAACATTTTGACGTACCGCGTAGTCGCGAAGGAACTGGGTCTGTCCAGGTGGCTGAAGCCAGAATCTGTAATTAACGTGACTGTCAGGTCCCAGTGCTGCGATGGCACGGACAGTGGTTTGTTTCCATTTCCTTCTCCGGGAGAGACAGCTGAGAGAACCGGGGAAAGCGCTCACACACAGGCACCGGCGTGGCGATGCAGAGGGCTGGGGGAAAGAGGCAGAGCTCGGCGCAGGCAAACACAGCCTGGGGTTCGTGGTCAGAAACTAGCCAGGCTCAAAGCACAGTAGGGAAGCACCACGCTTATGGCCGGGAGAGGAGGTCAAGAACAAGGCAAAGGTCGAATATACTGGGCGGAGCTGTCCTTACAGTTTCTGCACCACCTGACACAGGCGTGGATGGAATAGCTGACAGGTGATACTGCCGGAACACACTTCTTCACCAGAATTCTTAGTGACGGAATTCTTTTTGATATTAATTCTAGGAAAAAAGACGAAAAGAAAAGCTTGAGAAGAAAGCGGCAGCTGTTCAAAACAAACAAAAGGTGAGTACTCCTAGGTGTCAGATAGCACTCTGTGTTAAGGGAACAGGCTAAAAAAACTCACCAGTGGAAGACGAGTGATGAAAGGGTCAATAAGGTATATGCAAATTGTGATGGTCTGCATGTCTGTGGAAAGAGTTTTCTCTCTCTCAAAGCACTTAGCAGAAAAAGTCGTCCACATTTGTGACTTAAGATAAAAAATTTAAAATGGCAAAAAACTGTACTGTAGTGGGTGATGGTTGTCGCTGAAGTCTTGTCTTTTTCAACAGGGAAAGGAGGTGAAGAAAGGGGATAAGGGGTCTGAGACAGGTATGAGCATGTACATTTTAACCGGTTTATTTTACAAAACAAATGTTGTAAAGATCAAAACCTTGTTCACATTTTGTGTATTTTTCAGGAATATTTTAGAAATTCATTGTCAGCGTTCGTATGCCAAAATATTACATTTTTTATCAGTCTGTTTGAAACCACTCTTTTTCAGTTGAGAGAAAGAAACGAGGCCGAGAGGAAGACTATAAAATTTCAGACATCATGACAAAGGAGGTGATAATTGCTTTAATTCCAAAAGTTCCGATTATTTTTATTAGCTGTGTTAAGGGTTTTTGATAACTTTTATTTCTCTTTTAAAGGATATTTTGTCAAAGGCCAAAAAACCCAGGATGGAAATGGAGGTAATTGTCATGACCAGAACTATTCTCTCTGCTTCTTTTTAAATGATTTTTGTTCAGTTTTCCTTAACTGTGGACTCAACACGGAGATGTTTAGCTGCAGGAAGCCGTGGTGAATGGGGAAGTCAGCCTTTTGTAATAAAATGACCAGCATAATAATGCATGAGTCCCCTTCAGAAATAATCAGATGTATAAAAGTTTCTTCTTTTGCCTTTATAACATATCATTTACATTAAAAGGGTCTAACTGAATTCTGTGTAATTTCTTCTTGGAATGTTGCTGACTGTAAGCAAGTAAAGAACAACTTCAGCCTTTATTCATTAGTAAAATCTATCCAGTTTAAGAAAACGAGTCAGATTAATGAAAGAAGGGCGAGCTGCTGGTCTCTGTGGCTTCTTAAGTTGCCTGGCAATGTCATGTTAACAGGAGGAGGAGATCTCTCTGAGGAAGAAGCTGGAGGCCGAGGATATTGAGAAGATCAGCGATTCAAATTCAGATATCAAGGGCCGCCTGTCCCAGACCGTGCGCCACAATGCCCAGCACATGCTTGACCCAGTGAGGAGCGTCAATGGGCAGCCTGTGCCCTACCAGCAGCCAAAGATCTTCACTGGTGGCATCATGAGGTGGTACCAAGTGGAGGGCATGGAGTGGCTCCGGGTGAGTGGCCTGAGCCCTTTCTCTCTCTCCGCTCGTCCAAGCTGGCAGCGGCTTAGTCTCAACATTAGTGAGGAAGCGCTGTTTAGGTCAAGATTTCCACTGCTTTAAGTGCCTTTACAGTTTTTCTTGATTCATGTTAAAGATTAATTGAATGCTTTAATTAAAGCTCTAGGGGGGTTTAAAGAAAATGGCACTGTTTCAAGCACAAACTGCTTCCTATAAACTGCGTTTAATGAATGGAAATGACGTCTTTCAAAGAGATTAAGTTTCTCATACTGTTAACACTTTACTCTGTTATTTGTGAGGTATTTTATTGGTAGGATCTGAAATGTAATCTCCTTTTAACACCTTGTGATGTGAAGAGCTTCTTGTGTAATGATACTGGCTCAGTAATGGAAAGGCATTAGCGGTATGTGCTCTTCTCTCGTTTGATTATTTAAACCTGTCTGCCCCAGCACTACTGTAAATCACTCTTCCGTGTGAGAGCCTTGTGGGTTTTGTGTGTGCAGATGCTGTGGGAGAATGGGATTAATGGCATCCTGGCTGACGAGATGGGGCTGGGAAAGACGGTGCAGTGCATCGCGACCGTCGCCTTGATGGTGGAGAGGGGGGTCCCTGGCCCTTACTTGGTGGTGGGGCCTCTTTCCACCTTGCCCAACTGGGTCGCAGAGTTCAAGCGCTTCACCCCTGAGGTAGGCAGTTGTCTTCACTGCAGAAGGACCACTCGCAGTGGCGGGGTGCAGTCAGATGGCTCTGTTAGGACGTGAGTGGTATGCTCAGAGATCCTAGAAAAAGTGCCTCCGGATAGCAAAGGTATTCTTAAGGTGCAGTTCACCTGGAGACAGGAGGTAGCTTTCTCTTGCACCTACCACAATAAACTAAGATTATGCAAACCTTCTGATTTTCAGTTCTGATCTGCTTAAGTTAGTAAAATGAAGCTTCACTCCAGTAAACTAAAAAAAAATAATTCAAAAATTCACATTTTTTTGTATTGGGATAATTGTGCTCTCCATTTTCTGGGTATAGCTTTTTATTGGTTTGTGTTTTTCTGTGTTTTTGTGAACATCAAGCAGTGAGTGAAAATTCTGGTGTTACCTGGAACTAGACATAACTTTAAGCGGAGAACCTGGATGTGTGTTATTTCAGATCACAGTTTTGCTTTACCATGGGGAGCAGAAAGCAAGACGTGAGCTCATTAAAAAGATTCACCGGCACCATGGCTCACTCCAGATGCACCCTGTTGTTATTACATCTTATGAAATTGCTATGAGAGACCGGAGGTTCCTACAGGTATGGTAACTGCTGTGCTCTGTTTGAAAGCGATTTCTAATGCTTTCTTGTTATTTCGTGTGTGCATGTGAGGTAAAGGCTTAGTCATCAGGTCCTGCTCAGGCATGGCACGGATGGTGGTGGTGCAGTCGTGGGTTACTTGTGCAAAAAACATTTGTTCAGGTGGGTAGCTGTGTCGTCATGCGTAGGCTGCAAAGGAATAAGTAAAGGTTTATTCCAGGCTGATAATAGAATCAAAGAATTTTCTTTTCTTCGCTGTTCAGCATGGAATAAACCTTTACTTGTTCCAAAAAAACATTTGGCCTACTTTTGCTTTCTCCTGCAGAGATTACTTATCACCCCATGTATTGATCTCTTTAGAATTACAGAATAGACTAAGCTGGATACAGGAATATGACATTGATTATCTTTTTCTGGAAGAAGTGTATGAAACAAGTTTTACATTTGTAAGCATTTGAGTGTCATGAACTCTCGTCTGTCAGGAATGTATTTTAAAGGGTAATTGACTCTGCCATGGGGGCATGATTCATGCTCTCTCTAAAGGTGGTGCTCAGGCTTATGATTATTCTGTTTTGGGTGGGCATCTCACAAAAAATAATTGTAGACTTTTAGATTTAAAAAAATAAGGTGTTTTATATCTTTTCTGATTGTAGCACTGCTACTGGAAGTACCTTATAGTTGACGAAGGGCACAGAATCAAGAACATGAACTGCCGTCTGGTTCAAGAGCTGAAAATGTTTCACTCTGAGAACAAGCTGCTTCTGACTGGGACCCCGCTGCAGAACAACCTGGCAGAGCTCTGGTCTCTGCTCAACTTCCTGCTGCCCGATGTCTTTGATGACCTGAAAAGGTAGGGAAGGCTCTTACCTTATCCTCTCGCATAAGAGCAACAGGGTTATCTTAGACAAGCAAGTTATGTTATTGTAAGGTATAGTTCTTTCTGTAATGCAGTATTCTGGGGAAATCACAGGATAGTAACAGTAATGTGATCTACGTGCCCATTTAAAGTTTGCAAAACCTACTTTAATCATTATACAAAACCACGGTGTATTTCTTCATTCAGAAACATCATTCGTTCATTTAACTTGAAACATCTTTCATTCGTTATTCAAAACCAAGGGATTTTGCAGACTGTATTCCATACATGTCAAATAAATTCCTAATACCAAGTTGGCATCAATTTACCATCTACTAAAAACATAAATGAGCTGTTTATGAAAGTAGAACCTTCAAAGAGGTATTTAATGAATGCCTGTTAGTAATTCTTGCAAAGGCATTCATAAAATACCCTTTTGTTTGTTTCAAGGTCAAGCCTTAGAAATTGTGCATCCCCATTAGCATTTAGAAGTAAATAATAAATCACTGTTGTCGTTTCAAACTTGAAACAAAATGTGCATTGCATGTTCTTGAGTCTCCTTCAAGCTCTGGTGAAAATGGGCTTAAGTTATAATCGCATAACACACCAAGCCTGCCCATCCTATTGTGACTTAAATTTGATTGATTTTGGATTTTTTACAGTTTTGAGTCCTGGTTTGATATAACAAGCTTTACTTCTGATGTGGAGAATATTGTTGCCAAAGAACAAGAGCAGAATGTTTTACATATGCTTCATCAGGTAATGTTTTTTAATTGGAAATATCTGCTTCATATGTCAATGCGGTGATGAAATGCATGTCTTCTATTTTGGCTTGACTTGGAGTTGTAGTTTAGTTTGATGGCTGTTCATCTTCCTTTTCAGATCTTGACACCCTTTTTGCTGAGGAGGTTGAAGACAGATGTTGCTCTGGAAGTGCCTCCGAAGAGAGAAGTGGTGGTCTACGCTCCCCTGACTTCCAAGCAGGAGTCATTCTACACCGCCATTGTTAACAAGACCATAGCAAAGATTCTGGGACAGGAGCAGGTATGGACACAGGCCTTTTCACCCGGCAGTCTGGGCCTCTCCTGACCTCTGCCTTATATGGTTCCAAATGCAGCTGTGGTGCTTCAGACTGTTCACACCAGACAGAATGCTGGGTGTTGTGTACAGAGGCTCTTGTTTCTAAATGAGAAATGATCAGGTTGACAGCCTCCAGTTGGAGTGCTAGGACACCTGCCATAGCCAGAATGAGAATTTTCATAGCTAGTACCCTTGACCCTGTCTTGACAGGAGGCCCCCCCCGTGCAGCTCACTCCATCCGGCAGGCCAAGGCGCAAGAGCACGCGTGCTGTGGACTACAGGGAATTTAACGACAAATCGATTGATGACCTGGAGAAGCTTATATTCAGATTGAAGAAGGAGGAGGAGGAACAGAGGTAATTTTTAAAACTTTTTCTCTTCTTAAAGAAGTGTAATGGAAATTGTATGACTTGTAAAGTGCTTTGCAGCCTGAAGATCACTAAAACACTTACCAGATAGAAGGGTGCACATTTCATCTGCTCTTAAAGTGCTGCACCCTATGGGGTGGTATTTTGGGCCTGCAGCTTTGTGTCTGCTGCACTGAACCTGCAGCTGTGAAAATCATGTTTTTATCTTGTGCTGTATATAAAGGCACTACATTTCGATGGATAGAAACATCAACTTTTGGTACATCTGATAGGGTCATCTTTATATAACAGCCACCAAGTTGATCATTTCAAAATTGTCTTTTACCCTGTTCTTGCAACCATGTGTTTTTTTAAGTTCCAATTCATTATTTAATTAAAACGCATGTTCAAGTTCAAGTTTATTGTCATTACACTCATATACATGGTATATGGTATAACGAAATGCTATTTAGCTAGCTCTCGGACATAAGTAGTACAAAGAGAAAAAAAACACAACAACAACAATACAATTGTGTAGCAAAAGAAAGACAGAGACAACAGGCAGTGTGCAAAAACCAACAACAGACGATGTGCAAAAAAAACCAACAACAGGCAGTGTGCAAAAAACAACAGGCAATGTGCAAAACAACAAAAAGGTAACTGGTTATGTGCAAAAATATGCATCAACAGAATGAAATAAAGGGATAGAAATTATGGGGAGTGAGCTTTTGACATGTATGGTAGAGGTAGATTTTGTGTGTGTGTTTGGGATTTTGGTAAGAAAGGAAGAAGGGCACTGTGAGGTTCAGATCATAGGTGAGAGGTGAGGCGAGAGTGAGAGTAAGAGAGGCTGGGAGTTTAACAGTTTGATAGTGCGGGGGTAAAAACTGTCTCTGAGTCTGGTAGTCCGGGCCCGAATGCTCCGGTACCGTTTTCCAGATGGTAGCAGATCATAAAGTCTGTAGCTGGGGTGTGTGGGGTCTTTAATGATGCTTAGAGCTTTCCTCAAGCACCGTCTGTCATAAATGTCCTGGATAGATGGGGGGGTAACCCCAGTGATGGATTGGGCAGTTTTCACCACCCGCTGTAGGGCTTTGTGGTCAGCAGCACCGCAGTTGCCATACCACACTGTAATGCAGCCTGTCAGTGTGCTTTCTTTAGTGCATCTGTAAAGGGTAGTGAGGATCTGGGGACATATCTTGGCTTTCTTCAACTGTCTTAAGAAGTACAGGCGCTGTTGTGCTTTCTTGATCAGACAGGTGGTGTTGAGAGACCATGTGAGGTCCTCGGTGATATGGACACCAAGGAATTTAAAGTTACTGACCCTTTCCACTTCAGTCCCGTTGATGTGGATAGGGGGCATGTCCGGTTTGCAGGTTCCTGAAATCAACGATCAGCTCCTTGGTTTTGCTGGCGTTGAGAGTGAGGTTGTTGTCATCACACCATGTTGTAAGGAGATTGACCTCCTCCCTGTAGGCCCTCTCATCATTGTCTGTTATGTTAACATTGTCTGCATGTTAATTTGAGATGCATTTTAAATATAAAGATATCTATGTGATAAGAAAAAATGCTGTAAAATAAAGTACATAGATTTCTTTCCTTCACATTTAGGCTCAAGTTTATTATCTGAAAAGGCATAGGTATCTGTAGGAATCTGAGAAATGTGTATAAAGCTCTATTGAATAAACATTTCACCTAAGCAAAACTGTATTTTATATACATGTATTTTCATTTGTAGTACATATGTGTTGTCATTTTGGTTTACATGCTCCTTATTGCAAGGTTCCTATACATTTTAAGATTCTTACATTTTAATTGCACCTACTGCTTTAATTTTGGCTACATTAGGTGTTAAATGTGGGCTAGTATAGGAACGTAACAACCATATATGAAGCTGCATTCTGAGTTCCAAGCCACTGACTTGCCAGCCAACTTTTGGAGGGGAGTCCATTGGTAAGATGTGGAATTTGCATATACAGTTTAACGCCACATTGTACAAGCTTAATAAAACAAACAACCTTTTCAATCACCAGTTATTAGTGGAATGAAGGGTTTGGTAAGTTAGATGAAATCCTCTAAATCTCCTTTACTGCTTCAACAGCAGGCCTGTGCTTGATGTGCAAATGCCTTTGGATGCAGAGATCAACCTCAAGTTGCAAAATGTCCTGATGGTTCTGAAGAGATGTTGTAATCACCCATACCTCATAGAATATCCACTGGACCCTGCCACTCAGGAATTTAAGGTATTTTATAATGCGGAATAGAAGGTTAGCGGCAAAGCTCTAATTGCTTTTAATTAAAGGTCTTGTCCAGAAGTGTCTTGTCCAGTGTCTTAAGAGTGTTTTATTTTGTTTAGATTGATGAGCAGCTGGTTTCAACATCTGGCAAGTTTCTTGTACTGGATCGAATGCTCCCAGAACTGAAGAAACACGGTCACAAGGTAAACTTCAGGCTGAATGCCCTACTGCAGTAGTACTTGGCATTTGTGGTGAAAAGTATTCAGATTAGTTTCAAAATGCTGTACTTTCTGCTTTGAACCATTAAATCTGTCAGCTATTCCAGTCAAAGTTCTTATACAAAATGAAGAATTACCTACTGACTTTTAACTCACCTGTTGAAATTGATAGCAGTTGACAAGTTGAACCTACCAGGAAACAGGATAGACATTGACATATTTCATAATGAATATGTGATTTTGCATTTGCAGGTGCTGGTTTTTAGTCAGATGACTTCCATTTTAGATATTCTCATGGACTACTGTTATCTCAGAGGTTTCAGATACAGCCGTCTTGATGGATCGATGTCCTACGCAGATCGGGAGGAAAATGTAAGATGGCCAAGGATTGTAGTGCATCAGATTTTCACTGAACACCACAGAGCAAAAATTGTAGCCATGTGTTTGACTTACATACATGTAACACTTGTATTCACCCTTGCCTTAGGAAAGCTAAATCTTGCCATTTTACTTTTTTCTGACATATTAACATGACAAAATGAGACAAAAATTTTCACTTGGCAGGATAAGCATTCAATGCTGAGTTTAAAACAGCGTGTTTTTGTTTTAGAAACTCAAAAACATTTGATTTATATGGTGTATAAGACTTATTTTACTTTTTTTAAAAAAAAAACCTCCACTCAGGCTCTATCCTTGATCTACACAGATAAACAAATTCAGCTCCGACTCTGAGGTCTTCCTGTTCTTGTTAAGCACACGTGCTGGTGGTTTGGGGATTAACCTGACTGCTGCTGATACAGTCATCATCTTTGACAGTGACTGGGTGAGTCCTGGAATTTTCAGTTTAATCCCTTAGAAACTTGTAGAAACTTGAAAGTCCTGCTAGTAGTAAAAGTCTATGAACTCTGAATCTGAGCTTCAGGGTGGAAGGAGGGAAGATTTTCAGTAAGCAGCAACATTAGAACAGGGAATGGACACTGGCCAGACGTGACTAGCTGCTTATATTTCAGCACTTCTTACTTTTTTACATAAGCACAAAAATTCAGGGTGTAAAGGGTCAAGTAATAAAGAAAATAAATTTGCCTTTGCACATGTGTCTGTTGTCCGTTCAGTTCAGCTATTATTGTAGAGAATCACTCCAATTGGCTTTGGGCTGGTGGTGTTTTCATTTGGAGAAAACCCTGCAGGATTTTGTGTGTTTTGTAGTGGTATGGTAAACCAGCCAGACTTGTGTTCTTAAGTGTTTAAGTATTTGTCTTCTCTCTGGTCTCACCAGTAATTTGTTTTAATTCCCAGAATCCCCAGTCTGACCTCCAGGCCCAGGATAGGTGTCACCGCATTGGACAGACCAAGCCTGTGGTTGTTTACCGCTTAGTAACTGCCAATACCATCGACCAGAAGATAGTAGAGAGGGCATCAGTCAAGAGGAAACTGGAGAAGATGGTCATTCATAAAAGTAATGTTTTATTCAAAGATTAGACGATGAAAATAGTTTTAACTTGGTTAAATGGTCACACTGACCCATTAGCAATACATAGGGGTCCATAGGTCACACTTTGACCCATAGGGAACCAATTTTTGCAGTTCATAGAAGCACAAGAGAATCAATGCATAGGTGTACTTTAACTGTTAGAGACATGTTTGTAACTTCTAGTGCTGTTAACTTGCTGTGGGCTGCTTCTACAGCCTCATATCCCTTTTCTTCTCCGTTTTCTGGAGAATGTGAAACCCCAGTGCAGCTCCCAGAAAATTACATTTGTTTAAGATTATACCTAAAATATCTGAATACAAGTGGTAAATTGAAAACCAGGATTTGGGGAAAAGAAGAATACAGAAGTGTGGTATCGTTATAGAATACAGAAGATGACCCACCTTGCTGTTTCTGTTCAGCACTAAAACAGGACATGTATTCTAATTACTTCACCTTGTAATGCGGCTTCACACTGTGTTACAGGCTCTTTGGGGCAAATAGTGGCTAAATCTCTCAGCGTGTTCCTCTTTGTTGTGTTTTGAAAATCACTTTGCCCATGGCTTTTATTTCTCTCCCCAGACAAATTTAAAGGAGGGAAGGCAGGGCTGAACCAGTCTAAAAGCTGTCTGGACCCACAGGAGCTCATGGAACTGCTAAAATCCAGAGACTATGAGAGGTAGTGTCAGAATGTCAAGGATTAAAACCTACACCAAACACATGACTTCCTTTTAATGAGCAGGAGTTCACATCTGTCCACAGGTTCTTTATTTAATGCCTTTATGCTGTGCTCTTGTGTGTTTTTAGAGACTTTGCTAAGGTTTTCTGTAAAAGAATAATTGGCAATTTCAAGTTTTAAATAGTGAAGTGGCTTTGGAAAGGTTATTACTTTCAGGTGTTATTGGCTGGTCTTTTATCTTGAAGCTTAACCACGACTGAAACTAACTTTTTTTTTCAATTTGTATTGATTTTGTCAATTAAATTTTTAATTTTTGTCATCAAAAGGATGCAAATAAGTAAATGTTTTCTTCTTCTCATAGTTTTTTCAACTTTTAATTTGTTTGGTCATTCCCTCTCATAGGGAAGTGAAAGGCACCAATGGGAAGGTTATCAGTGACAAAGACTTAAAAGTCCTGCTGGATCGCAGCGACCTATTAGGTATGTTGGTCATTGTTCTATCTGAAAATACACCCTTTGCTAACATTATTCCAATCCTTCAGCATTGTTTGCCAAATGTTTTCAGATTTTAAAAATAAGTCTGCCATTTCTTGGAGCCCAGGTTGTCCTGAGAGCTCATTTGGCTAATTTGGAAAGTTGACATTCACAGTATGATAGGGATTCCCATATTGTGAATGTCACAAAAATCTGACTAACTCCTTCTTGGTTTTAAACTGTTCTTTATTTGTTCCAGATGAGATGAAAAGGTTGAAGCCAGAAAAGGATGGGGTTTTCCGAGTGATTGAGAATGACAGAGATTCTTCAGAAATTTGCTTGAGATGAGGTGATTACAGATGGACATTGGAAAAATCTTCAGTAGCCCTTCCTGTCTGGAAAGACTTTCCTTGGTTATACTCTTACAATGCCTTTCTGGAATAGGTCTTTTAAAAACTGACTGGTATAGGTTATGTGCTTCAATCAGCAGCATGTCTTAGCTGTAGGCAATTCTGTGAAGCCTCCAACAAGCAAAATCTTAATACCACACCATTTTCAACCAGGTGGGTGTGTACGGCCCCAAAGTCATTGCGCAGGAAGCTAAAGAAAAGCATGGAGAAGATTAAGGATTTTGTGTTCATTTCAGGCGGTTTAATCTTTTGTTCATTCCTGTACTGACATTCTCTGAAGGATATGGCTCTGTCATAAAAAATGCAAAATGTAAGCATTGTGTACTGACAAATTTCAGGATTTAGATCATTTCTGATTTACGTTTTTGTGATATACATTTAAAGGGCTGTTTTTATTTTGCTGTAATGTTTAGTCTTTGAATCTAGAAATCTGATATAAAGAAATTTATACTGTTGAGCTCAACCTTGCACATTTTAGATTTTGCACTTGACAGAAGAAAGACCTGGAAGTTTCCTTTCTCCCTTTTGCAAAAAAAAAATTTTTGACAACGATGTTAGGAATTTAGCGCCTGATCTGTGCTTCTTCTTTAGAATCTTTTCATTTCTGAAAACTAAATGAAAATCATCCAGTATGCATATATTTTTTCTATTGCTTTTTCACCCTTTGTATGGCTGAAGAAATAATAAGGGGAAAATAATTTTCTTAATAAGGACATCATCAAAGTAGTGTCAAGGAAAAGAGTATTTACTAATTGGAAAGCTGAATTTCTGAGTAGTTTTTTATTTTTGATCAAAATTATCATTACCTTTTTAATTATCTAGTGATACAATTCTGATTTCCATCGTGTCTGAGTCAGGTGCACTGTGATGTTTGGCTTCAGAGCACATCTGTCACTTTTGCTTTTGGAAAAATATTTTTGAGTCTTATCTTTTGCACTAGTGTACTGTTGATGACTCAAATTTCAAAATCTGAGTTTTGGAAATTTCATATTTTGTTCTGTATTTGCTTAAAACAAGTTGATTTCCTAAATTTCAAATTGGACGTGTTTTAAGTATGAGGTGTTGCTGAGAGGCCTAGGTTTTAAACATCTCACAACACAAAATGTTAAACGAATTTCTACATAAAAAGAAAAGAGCTGTAGTTTAAATTGGCATTGTATACATTGATTTTACTGCAAGTGAACACTTATTTCACAAGAAAACATACTAAGCTTGTTTTTATGTATGTATTTTTTTACATTTTCTGCACTAGCAATACATGTTTTTTTATATTTGTGAATGTGGGAAAACCTGAAATATTTTGTAGAGTGTAAATTTAACAATCATTTAGTGTAATGATCTTCAAATAAATGTACTGTAATAAGAAGTTTTGTAATAATAAATCTATCTTTGAAGTACTTGTTTTTCTTGTTGGTATTTTAACTTCATGGATGCAGCTGTTTCTTATATCTAATTGTAACATGTACCCTAAAAGCAGCTTTTTAAATTAAAGAAGAAATATGGAACATGGCATCTAGACTTAATGTCATGTTTTGTTTCTTGCATGATCAAAAATGCAAAGTATTCAAAACTAACCAGATATGCACTTGAATCTGGTGAAAAGGCATTATAGATTTAATTAGAAGGACACTCGTGATCCAGGTGAACTTTGTACTCACTACTGACAACTATTAAATCCTTAGACTATGATGTGAATTCAGTTCACAGATGTAATGCACTTCATTAAATGGTTTTATATGTGTATCTGAACAGGCTTACTGGAACCATAATGGAATGTAGAAACTGAAAATTCCTCCAATTTCATATAAATGAGGGCTTTTTAATTTTGACAAAACACCTGGAAAAACATGTTTCTGAAATGTGTAGCACAAGTGAAAGTGCTAAACCACTTAGTTTATTTCAAATGAAGGCAGGGTACATCCACCTGCTCAGAAGTATGTTAACAGCCTCTGTGGTGTAATGATTCAAGCATGAGGGTCAGTAGGTTACTAACAGGTAAGGTGTACTTGAGTGCTACAGTAAAGCTAGGTTATGTGAAATCTAACAGGACTGCTTAGGAAAAGGAAATGAGTGTTATTCTGTTGGCTGAATGTCCTCTGTCTTTCCAGTCACTGCAGTGCTGATCTGCTATGTACTTAAGTCCTGGCTGCAGGCCGAAGTCCTGAGCCATTTTCTGAAGGCAAGTTCAGACGGATCAGATTCACTGAGGTAAGACTGAAGAGGATGGCACTGCTCCTACTTGTGTGTACATTTTCTTTCATGGTAAGCAAGGAATTAAGAGTGGCACAACTGGTAAAACAACAAATTGACCATCCTGAAAAAATATTCGATATCAACAATACGTTTCTTCTGGTTTGTGTCATTGAGAGAATTGGTGGTGGTGTTCTAATCTCTTTATTTAAGTGTCCAGCAAACCCTGAGACATGGTCTGAAAGGCAGTTCTGTTGTCTTAGGCTCTACAGCTCTGCAACAATAATGAGGAATGCAAACATCAGAGGTCATTCTGCTTAGAGGTGTGATTTAAATGATCAGATAAACTGTGTAGGATAAATCATAACTAGAGTGAATAATCAGATAATATGAAAATGGTTTACCTACTGCAACTTCCTTCCCTTTTGACATTGATTCATATATTCCTTTGTTATACGGTCATATATTTCTTTTTATATGGCCTGTTCATTGAGATTTTTCTGTAAAGATTTTTCTTAAGATTAAAGTTTGTCATCTTTTTTTAAAGAAAGAAAAGGGTGTTTTGAAGTGTTTACGATGTGGTTGTGCACAGCTTGCACCTCTCCTAAACAGAAATTGCTGATGCTAATGTAGAAAACATAGACATTGTTTCATTTAAGTAGAATACGATCATTTTACACTTCACACCACTGATATACAGTGTTTTCATTGAGCTAATTGAACAGATCAGATAGCCTTGTCATGAGGTCTGTGAGCCGGAGTTAATTTTATCCCATACCCATACAAAGTGTGCATGCAGACGCTGTACCAGTTTACTGTGACCACTTGTCCGTATTGGCACCTCCATCAATTGAAGCTCATGGTTCATGGGTGAAGTTACACAGTGTCTGCTCTTGCTCTGTATGAGTGTATATTCCCCGTCATCTTGCCTGCATATAAAAAAAAATGCCCCATGGATGTCACATTGTGGTTATTTGAATAATAAATGACTGCGGTTTTGTCAGGGCTTGCCTGTGCTATAATTGGATAAATATGAATTATTCAGTCCAAATGCTTAGCCTGGTGGTCAGCGTACGGGCTCCTTGGTGCTTGTCGCATGAAGACTGAGCGTGTCCGTCCGCTCTTTGGATTTCTCACGAGTCCCTGAGCTGCTGGGAGGTCCTGAGAGAGTCCTCTTGGCAGCTCTGCCTTCCTCCTCCTCCAGACGCTGTTTTATCTGGATGATCACTGGGGGGAGCAGAATATGGATTCTTCTTAGATTACATTTTCTGGGGACTATCTCTGATGGTTGAGGTTAAAGGGGTTCCTGAAGAAGGAATCACTGAATGTTTGAAATGGAAGATGATTAGGATGGGGTCTCATTTTTTATTCATCATCTATTGCAGTAAATTCTTATCTGAACATTTGCACAGTTACGTTCAGGGTACAGGCAGTCCAGTGATAAGATGCTCTGCTATACATTGTTTTGCACTTACTGTGTGGATTTATAGAGGAACACAACTTAAACAAATCCTCGCATTTACTGTACATCATTTTTCAAGGCATCAAAGGCCTGCAAGGTGCTTGGTGGAATATTTTGTTCCAGAAAAACAATATTGAGAAGAGCACGTTCTAACGTTATTAATTCTTCTATCAGTTAGCTCAGTATAATGTACCATATGTTGCGACTATCTGGTCCCTAAATCTGACACATTTTGTATAACGTTTGTATGCAAATCCCATGTTTCAGGGCAGTGTGCACAGTTAAAGCATTGAATTCAGTACTGATTTTGTAGCAGAAATAAATTCTCTTTGAAAAGAAACAATGGCTTTTGAGGGATTATATTTTGTTTTCCTGCTGAGAAACATATGTTACAAAAATTGCTTATACTGTAGGTATATAGAATATAGGTATTCTCATAAGAATGTGTGATAGAACTCCTACTTTTGCTAAAACAATAAAGTCAGTCAGTTAGCAACTTTTTAAACTTACCTTCTTCTTTTGGGTCTCTGTTCTGAATGTTTTGTTGACTCATGTGTGGTAAAACTTCATCGTTACTTAGTTTAAGCTCCTGGTTGCTCATGTGGCTGCTTTCATGGCACATCTGTTTCATTCTGTCTGCAATGCGGTCACTCAAGTTCAGGTAATCCATCCGTAAGTCACAGAGTTCAGCCAGCAAAACATTCCTCTCCCTCTCCAGCATGGAGATCACACCTCTGAGTTTGTCTCCTTCTTGATTAAGATCCTGGAATTTAGCTTCAAGATGATATTTCTCCTGTAGTACTTCCTCCAGTTCTCCTTTGAGCATACACTTGTCCTCTTTTAGGTCTACTACAAACCGGTTCAAAGCGTCCGACTCCTTCCTTAGATCCGCTGCTGTTCGTTCAGTGGTTTCCTGTTCTTGCTTGATGTGCTGTATATCCTCCTGGAGTTTGTTTTGGATCTCTTCCGCTTCTTGCTTCATTACTTCCATTTGGATACTTGTGGATTCCTTCTCAGTGATTAAGTCTTCTATTTTCTTTTGTAATTCTCCGACTGTGTCCTTCAATTCCTCTACTCCTTTCTTGTAAGATTCCTTTTCTGATTCCTGTATGGAAGCTACATCCACGGCCCTTTGAGTTTCCTGTTTTACATTTTGAAGCTGTTTCTTCAGCGATTCAATTTCGTCTTTCATTCTGGAAACCATCTCTTCTAATCTCCATTTCTCCTCTACAGTCCTGCTGTGGTCCTGTCTCAGGTGCCTCATGTCTTCCTTTAAATCCGCTAAGGCAAAAAGAGCAGCTTCCTTCTCCTCCTTCAGAAGACTTTGCTCATTGCGCAAACTTTCCAATTCATGCTTAGCAGCATCCAAACGTTTCAGAAAATGCCCCTTCTCTGCTGAGCTCTGAGCTGCTTGTTCTCTGACCGACCTTGCAAAATCTTTCAGTTTTGCATATTTCTCCAGCTGATGCTTAAGCTTCTGGACAGCAGTTTCGTATTCACTTTTAGCTTCCAAGAATTTGTCTTTCCAAGAGCTGCAAGTCTTTTCAAAGTTAGAAAGAGTCTCCAGGTTTTGTTTCTTCTCCCGCTGTAACGTTTCTGCCAGTGACCTAATTTCTGTGTCTTTTAATTCTGACCGGTAAGTTATTTCTTCCAATTTTTGCTCTCTCGCTATCAGCAACTGTTTGTTTTCTTGGATCTCTCTATCTTTTAGTTGCAGTCGCTCCTCAAAGACTTTTATTACTTCCTTGTATTTTTCCTCCGAAGGTGCCATCCCGTCATTTGAGTCCTTCAAGTTTGTGGTTAAAAGCTCTTTATCCTGAAGTTTATATCTTATAATTAGCTTCTTAATATCTGCATGGGAGTCAGTGGTTTTTAAGCTTTGGATTTTGCTGAGAAAAATAGATTCCATTTCATTTTCTTTCTCTTGTTCCTCACTTACCCTGTCTTTCTCTTTTGGTAAGGCGATGAGAAGGACTTGTGTGGCAGTTTTGTTAGTTTCTTGGTTTCTCTGCAGCTGAAGTTTTTTGTAAAGGTTTAAATAAGCCTTTTCAAGAGATGCCGTGGCAATTTGCATACTGTCAACCTGAGCTTCAGGTTCATTTTCTTCAAACTTAGGTGTATGTTTCTTGACCAAAATATCTGAGCACAAGCTACTGACTTCTTTTCTATGGTATTGGATTTCTTGAGAATCTTGTATCTTGGTCTGATCCCTCATTCCCTTCAGTACTGTCGCCACATCTGTTTTGCTGCAGTGAGATCTTTCTAGTTCAGCTCTGAGCCACTCTTGTGCCTTGCTGATACCGTCAAACACCCTGCAGAGTTCGTTATTACGGTCTCCCTTCTCAATAAGTGGTTTGACGCAACCAGTGGAAGAAATGGGGTCGTCCGATTTCACTGTAGTCATTCTTGAGGGCATTAAAGTTGGCACATCAGAAATCGCCAACAAATTTTGTGTACTGCTGGTATTCTGAAGACCGCTTTGCCAAGTGAGAACAGCATCACTGCCGAGTCCGTGGGCCTGCAGGTACGATCTGAAGCAATTTGTTTCACTGAGGCTCTGGTTCATCTGACTGAGAAGTTTATTAAGACTCTGGGACAGTCTGACAGTCTCCGATGTAGTCATGGCTCCAGATATGTTTGGGCCACATGATGGAGTCTGAATTATTTGATAATTGTTGAGGGAGCAAAAAGAATAAAAACAGTCAGACAAACACATGAAAGCTCTGAATCTTGCCTCTATACATTATGTAATATGTATAATATGTAGTATGTATATAATATTAAATCTGTATAGGTTATATAACTACAATCATCACCTAACCCAAAGCTAAACTATTAATTCCAATATCAACAGCTTCAGAACAGATCTCTCGCTCAGCAGAATGATACTATAGACCTCAGCATTATCTTCTCAGGGGTTTTCCCAGTACCAAATAACATACAAAGCCATTGGCTTGAGGTGATTGCATAAGACAGCAGCACATACAGTATCTCAGTAGACAGGGTCTGTGTACAGTATATACTGCATTAAGTCAGGATGAACATCAACAATTTGAAATGAAGTATAATGTATAGAGTATAACAATATATACATGTATAAAAATATATTTCATATTTTGATCTACTTCTAAAAAGTAAGAAGAGCATAGGAATGAATAAAGAAGCCTGGAAACACCGTTGGTATAAAATAACATCTGAGCAATAAACACTTGCATGGTGACATGAAAATGTTATTAATCAAATACTGCCAGGCATAGTATTCCCTCTGAAGGCACCTTGTAGTGTCAACCCAAGGACCACTTTCAGCTGTTTCTTTAAGGATCCTTCAGAATCCGCTTCAACACACTGTAGCTGGGGATTTGGTTCCAGACCCCTGAGGTCCTTGTCAGTTAATCACAGGTTCCTCTGAGATACTCAAAGCAGAGCCCAGGGTCCAGTAGAAATGCTGGATCGAATTTACTGCACTGTTATTCTGTAGAGGTTTTCTCTTTAAATTATCAAATGCTTGTAGCTGGAGCTATGATTCTTGATAAAAAAAAGTCAGTGGTATTTTTTTTTACTCTTTACTCTTTTGAAATGTGTGGTAAATTGATTTTCTGAAGTGTTTATATACTTTATTTCAACATGCTTCTAAGAGAGCTTTGGATTAAATATGTCAGTTTGTTTATTTGTTTTACAAATGCTTTATGATAAAATTGTCAAAAAAGAGAGGCAAGAAAATACTACCACTTGGTTATATTAGACAAATTGAATATTTACTGCGTAATAATGTGTTTATAAAACTCCCCTAAATCAACAATTAAGAATCAATCAACACTTTTATTTGCAAATGTATAAAACCAGAATGACCATCTATAAAATGTCTACCTTTAATGTAGTCTGGGTCAGTGTGTGCTGTTCCTGAAGGCCTTGGACTGAGCTATCTGAAAGAACACAAAACATTTCTTAGAGCAATTACTCGCAGTTTTTTGATGTAATGCAAAGGATGGGGATTGGCATTTTTATCACGTCTCAGCTGCCTTAAATTACTTCACACCACACTGCATGGAGCAGAATTTGTTAAAGCTGGAAGACTGCTTGTAATAGTTACTGCTCAGAACCAACAGTCTCAATTCAGTTTATTTTTTTCTGGCATTTACAGTAAATTCATGTCATTAAACAGCCTCAAACATAGTAATTATAGGATGCAAAATTGTAAGTAAAAGTTTAATGTACCAGTTTAAACTGCTGAAGAAGCATTTAACCCCCTGAGTTTCAGTACTTAGCCTCTTAGAAAGAATTCTGTTATAGGCCTTAAGATAATTTTTGCAGTATTACAAAAACACTGGGACAATATTTTTTTATGTGCATTGCTGCAAAAATACTGCACATTTATACCGAATTATGCCATGGCAGTTGTTTTCTGATTTGAATGAAAACCCAACCTCTGTTGAAATTTGGTTAGGGGTTCGAGGTCACTAAAGCTGGATGACCACTGATCACTCATTAACCTTCTTTACCCTTCTTTTTTTGTACGGCAGGATAAGCTTTTCTTCTCGAATCATTGCTGACTTTAACAGCTGATACAGTACACTTAGAAAGCCACACAAACAGTAGAAAGATGGAATTACCCGAGCCCCATGTTTCCGAGTCCATTGTAAGTGCTCCCTAAAATACAAAACGTGAGACCAACACAATATCGTTACTTGTTCCTTAAGTTTTAAAGGACATGATAAAATAATGACTAGGTTTGTTTCTTTGAATGGTGACTTTTCAAAATGGTGTCACCAAAAATGTGAATTTGGTGTCACCAAAAAAGTCACCACAAATGGTGACGTTTTTCACATTAATGGATTAAGAGCATGGTGTTCAAAACCAGGACATTCCTAGTAATCCTTCATTCAGGGATGTAACTGATATAGTCAGTCTATAAACCAGTTTCTCAAGGTACTGTTTTCCCATGTCATGGAGCTTGGATTCTGTGGGTTTTATTCTTAATAATTATTCGTTTAAACCTTAGCCATAAACAGAAAAATGCAGTACAGTGCACTGCTGCAACATGGCCTTTCCATTGAAAAGAAACTATAATACAATTAAATAAAATTGTGCTGAAAGCATATTCACTTCAATTATAAGCAAAATGGATGTATGAGGCTCTAAAGAACTGATATATTTATCTTTAAAAAATACTATTCATATTGTTTAATTATACCCTGAAACAGCATAATGTATTACAGATTAAATTACTTTCAACAGAACTGTGCAATCTAACTAAAAAGAGGCAATAGAAATATTTTGAGATCCTCTTGTAACTCTGTAGTAAAGTAAAACTGAACAACAAACAATAAACAAGACTCCAATATGCAATAAGCAGTTACTTCATATTCTCAACCTTATTCCCAAATACATTTATGGGAGACTTCTTTCCTCTTTATTAACTCTGTCTACCTTGGCAAATACAGTATACACATAATTTCCACATTTGTCATTTGTGTAAATAATCTTTAACACTGCAGAAATGTAGAACTCTTACCGTGCAGCAGGAGTTCAGATTTCTCCAACTGAAATGCACAGAATAATAAAGGCTACTTCATTGTTCACACTGTTTAAATGGCCATCTCTATAGCAACATGTGCAGAGCTGTCTCGAAACCCTTAGGGCTGCAATGAGATACTTAAAAGAAGCTGAATCGTTGGTAACTGCCTTTTTCTTATCCTGCAAGCCTTTATAAGGGACTTTGCCAACTCAGCAGGAGACCTCTTTATTAAATGGTTGCTGAAGCTAATATGGATTTTAATTCATGCAATAATGTGTTCCTGTAATTTCTCAATTGCAATGTGCACACACTGCTGTAAGCTGTTCTGTATTTACAGTACCTACAGTATAATGGAAAAAAATATTTAGATTGCATAGTAATTTTCTTTGCCCCTGCTGAGAAACATAAAATCGTACAAAATTAATAATACTGTGTCACCACACCTCCATCTTGACATTCACGTCACTTTGTTCACATTGACACAGATGAATTGATTCTGATCTTAATGTAATGTGTTTGGTGTTATATATTCTCTTCTCAGAACTTGGTACCAAGAATTCTTCTTAAACAGCTGGGTTCCACATAGCAACAAATGGCTTTGGACACTGAGAAACTAATGTCTGGAGCAGAGAAGTGCACCAGTAGCAAAGTTCGGTGGAGCTGCTTGCTTCATTATTCAGGTAAACCCAGCTTTGATTTGAGCTTTTCTTTATCACCTAGGTGGGAATCCTAGCAGTTCAATAGTTCTGACCTGATGCAGTTTATAAAACTATTTGGCTTCAGCAGTACTAAGCAAATATTTGCATTCCTGCTTCATTTGAGCAGTAACAAACGACTTACCTACAGTACATTACCAGGAGGCTGCCAAGTCAGTCTTTACAATGTTGTCATTTTCCTGTACAAGATGTGAGTAAACATGGTAAACAAAAGGACTGCCAATGTTTTCAATAAACACAGATCGAAAATAAATCATAGAAGTGCAGTGTTATGAAATGGCCGTAAAGTGAGAAACCTGGCACTTGGTGGTATTTTGTGGTGATTGTATTATAGAACAGTAAAAGTTATGTATTGTATAGTATTAACCACTGCACATAGTTTCTGTCTTTTTATATTTGTTGCTGTGTGGAACTCCAGAACATAAACACTTTCATGCTAGAGTCTTGCGTTGAAATACAACAGGAAATAAGCTAATACACATTATGATAAAGTAACATATAGAACAATACAATATCAGATAGATATAACAGATAATTTCATCTGATTTCTGTGAAAATCATAAATCATTAACTTTTCAAATGCACTAATTTCACAAACGACAGTAAACATCCATCAGTCAGCTGATTTTACCTGGAAGTTTCACACTTTGACCAATGCTGTATAAAAAGCATTTTTGTGACTCATGCTTTGTTGTGGTTAGCACCAATTTGCTTGTTTAAGTGATTATCGCTAATGGCTTTCACATTCATAATATTTTTATGGAAAATCTGATATTGTTACTCAATATCCTCTCAAATTTGAATTTGAAGTCTTTCAAATATAGATCTGCCATTTTGTAAACTAATTTTAAGCATGCCTTTTCACAGATCCTTTACTGTGTGCAGGAGGCTTCAACTAAGTGCAGTTCAAATAAGCCTAAATCTCCTCTTTTTTAATAATTTAAAAATGAAAACATAGTCAAAGTAAAGCTTGTAGACTATCTATGATGAATCAGTTTATTTGCAACTGACTTGGGTAAATAGTTTTAATAGCTGTACCATGCAAGTATATATAATTGTATTATTGTGCCACCATGGTAAAGGTCTCAGTCAATTAAACAAAATAGCTGCAAGTTCAGCTGGAATGCATGATGAGGAGGTGTAGAGCTGTTGCACTTGCAGCCACTAGAGAAGTCATTTACACAAATGTAACTCTAGGTGGAGACATATCCTCAGTAGATATTCCCAGCAGGTTTACACGCACAAATCAATTTTGTAGCAGCTTTGTCTGGTTAATAGAATATAGATACAAAGTAGAATAAACAGTACAATAAATATAAATAAAAGAATAAAAATAAATGAAACAAGATGAGATGTCACTATTAACTACTCCTTTAAAAGTCCTCCTGGGAACATAAAAATGCAGAGACAAATCAGTTTTATCATCCACCTTGAATGAAAATAAATACATTTGTCAGCTTCATCCTTATTTATATTGATTTGTGTTACTGGCTCGGTAGTTTAGTACAGGAATCCCAATGTACAAGGAGCCAGGGATAGACTATGGTGATTGTACACAATGATCCTTATAGAAATGTGTTACTGGCATTGATTGATTGATCTGTTTAGACTAATTGACACAAAAATGATACATACTGTACCATGTCCTACATATCAATGTTTCTCTGTATTTTAACATTCCCTGCTGCTTTTCCAAAATTTTACATTCAGGTGGGACAATGTACTGAAGACAGTGATCTCACCTTTGTGTGCACGATATTGTTTCTGGTTTTTCAAACAGCTACTGCAGCATTTAATTAAGGGAAAGATTTGATAGAGCTGCTGGAAATTGGCTGTAATATTTTTTATTTTATGTATACTTTTAATCTTAAAAGCCTGAATCTAAAATTAGAGCTTATATGATTATGAGGGACTCTGGCAGTACTTGCTAAGCTTACAAGCTATAAACTGGGAAACAATTCAGTTTCAGTAGAAGAAAATGCTTACAAACGAGAGGACACCTTTTAGGCAAAGGGACGAAGATTCAGAGAACTACACGCACAGCTGAAAAAGGTTACTGTATTTGAGCTGTTGAGAGGGTATATATTACAAAATTACAAATGTGTAAAATGTAACAATAACAATAACACCAAAAACGTAAGTAACAATTTAGTTTGACTTAATGGGGAGATGAATAATAGAAGATGAAAAAGTAATCATGTTAAATTAATTTCACTTGGGTTTGCACAATAAAAGCCGTTAGTAACATAATCCATGTTTTAAAAGGGTCAATAAAGATTTTTCTGTATTAGTGATTTTAGCAGAACTGACCCTGAGGTTCTACAGGGAATGGGTTAGCTTAATTTTAATAAATCATAGGTTGAGAATTGCAACACCAATGTAATACCAATTAAACCATGTCAAATCCAGTCAGCCTCTCCTTACTATAATTTCTAATGTTATGGAAACAGCAGCCGAAGAAGAACTGTGGAAGAATTATTAAAAAATGTTAAGACAGACAAAATTAACTAGAAAATAGAATAGAAAGGGAAGTTGTTGTTTAATTCACTCGAATAATTGGAAGGCATTAAGCACAGTTGATAACATACAAGATACATCTTCCAGAAAAAGCTATAGATAAAGTCCTTCATAAAAGGATAGTTTTCAAATTAAAAGGTATACTTTTAAGGTCTTGGCGGTAATGTATGCACATGACTCAAGAACTGTTAAATAGTTTATCATGACACGCTGTCTTTTTAGGGATGCATTTTTGTCATGACCTCTACCACTGGAGATACTATGTACTGTAAGTGGCACTGATTTTGTATGATTTTTAAAGTTTATCACTTTTGTGCTTAAAGGTGACTTTTAAAGATCCTTTTTTGTCATGCCTTGTTTTCTACATCCACAATTCTATTGTAACACAATGGTTCACTAAATGCTATGAAGTGAGTCTCTTTTTTACTGAAAACCCTGATCCCATTCAAATGTTTTGCAGTATTAATACACAGGCAGTAACAGGACTGTTTAGTTAATAACCTGTTTGATTACATAGATTTTTTGTTCCCCATTTCAAAAGATTATCCTGTTTCAACCTGTCAGATATCAGGGGCTGTCTTTCAAGTCTGTAAAATTAATGACAAAATCAACCCTAGTAATGAATGTTTCATTTTATAAACATGTGCCATTAGCACCATATGGATGTTGTTTGTTCAGCTGGTTGTTGCAAATGAATATCTACAGCTCTGTAAAGATTGGCTGTCAGTTACAAAACCACTAATAAGAATACTTCTATCAGTGCTTAAATTTTGCATTTGAACTTTTTACAACTTTAATTCCTTTCTAATGTTTGTTTGTCATATAGTTCTTAACAGAGCACAGTAGTTCTTTGATTTCAATTGCTTTAATACTGACAAAACATGAGTATTGTAGACTTTAGTATTAAGTGCTGTTACAAAATGTTTTGCTAATCACCCCAGGCATACAGTATAAAGCAGGAACAACATCTACAGCAGATAGATGCCTTTTTTAATAGCCGAGTGAAGGATTTACCCAGAAAAGGAGAAAGTGGAAAATTATACTGTAATTTCCCTCTCCAAAAAACATATGGAATGTGAGTGCTCAGGGTGTAGAAAAACATTTTGAAATTGGCAATGCATCTGATATACGGCTCAGATTTTGATGTTCTTGTTGAAGCCCACTTTCAACATTATAGATAGAGGAGATAGCTAAGGTGTACTTTGTGTAATGAACAGGGTGACAGAGCTCAGAAATTAGTTTATTGCCTTAGCAAATTTACTACGTCCAGTAAGATGGTAGAGCAAGAAATAGCAATCCAGCAATGAAGTAGCAGCTTGAAATCTGAGAATTTGAAGCTGAGAATGACAAGCACTGGATGACAACAATAGGTGTGTTGCAGTAATCTTTTTTTTTTCACATTAAAGAAAGCTGTTTGTCAAATAATGGGAATATTAAACATCTGCCTCACCTGAGCAACTGAGATTGAAAGATAAGCTAGAAGCTTCTCAATCAGTGCTACCAGCTGCTTCAGTCAGTGTCACAGCAGAGTCCAGGACCTTTGTTCAAGAGGGTCTGCAGGGGTGGGAGATCAGGCGCTCAGGTCTTAAGGCACTGCAAAATAAATAATAGAGTGACAATAAGTGAACAGATACTTTAATGGTAAAGCCTGAGGTTTTTTTCATGATTGAGGGGCGGTTTGGACCATTGCTAGTGGTTTCCAGCAGGAGCTCTGCCTGTGTATGCATGCATATGTGTGTGTGTCATCTGTCACAGGTCAAGGCCGGTGGTCTTGTCCATGCAGTGAATTTGCGGGTCCCTTCTTTGCACATGGCAGGCGATTCAGTAATAATACCACCCACATTTTCCATTTACTACACTTGATTACAATGCAAATAGATTTCTGTTGACTTAAAGTATGACAGACCTATGCAAATACATCCTTTTTATACTAAAGTTAAAATTAGAGCCAGTCCTAGTGGCTTTTATGTCCAGTGATTTGGTGGCATGTGTACAGCACGTGATTGGTAAAAAAAGGCATGTCTTGTCTCACTCCCAGACTTTCAATATTAATTCCATTCATCCATGAGGGCATTTCTTAAGCATTACCTGGTAGGACATACAGTAGGTCTCTGCTGGTCATAACTCAACAAGGAAAGCACAATGCCAGACATAACTTTAATCCTCTGCTCTATGAGAATTCCCAATTAATCGTGAGTGACTACTTCACTAAGATAATTGACAACGCAAGTCACATTTAATGAATATCAAGTCATACTCTTCCTTGGAGGTATTCATGCATAGTAAAAGAAGCATATTTATTAATCCACATTTCAGAAATACTGTACGCTTTGAAAAGGAGAACCATTAATGACCTAATAAGAACTGTTACTGCCCCACAATTGCAGAAGCGTACAGCAGCATGTTTATTTTATTTCAGTGTTTAACTGCAGAGTGGCATCATCACC